CTAGAAGCCCTAGACCCCTAAACTCCGAAACCCTCACTCCTAAGTACTCCCTATAAACCCCAAACCCTAAACCCTAAACCTTACATCCGAAAAGCACGAATTCCAGCGGCCAGGCTATGGGCAGCAGCAGCCGCATCTTCGAGGAAATCCCAAGAGCAGGCCGGATCTCTTCGAAACTCTGAGCTGGTTTTCCCTAGGGCTCCAGTTACCTAAATAGTAGGTTACTGGGGTACATATTATAGGGTTAGTAACCCACCATTTAGGTAACTGGAGCCCTAGCGTTTCGAAGTTGGTTCGTAGAGGGTTTATCAAGGCTATAGTCAATAGTCTCCATCGTAGTTCTTTTGGTTGGTTTAGGTAGCCCTCAGAAAGGAACTACGACGGAGACTATAGGCAGGGTTCTAACGGGATTTGGTTGAGGGCGGTAGGATTTGTGGACCGCACAGGCTGACGCCCGGACCCAGAAGATTGCAGGTTTCTGTGGCACGGGAAAGTACCCTTACAGACAAAAGCTGTGTTTGCAGTTTTTTAGGGTAGGCTGAGTGACTGGTACAGGAGAGCCTAACTCTGATTTATAATGAATTCCAGTGAGGCTCCGGGACGGTTGTTTCTGGTGTGCAAGCGGAAGCTTGGATGGGATCGTTCTCTCCGCTGCATAGCCTCCTTGCCCCATGGCTGCAGCCAGTAGCAACATGCCGTGAAGTCAGAAGCCGGAATGCCATGCTTGCCGAAAGCATCCGTACTTGGAGGTTCAGGGGTAGTTATAAGTGGAGTTATAAGTCCCCAATATGGGTTGTTATTATAGCTACCCTACTTAGAACCCTACTTACAACTACCCATGAACCTCCAAGTACCCGGAATATGCTTGCCGGATCCCCGGACTTGAACCCACTCCGCACGAAGGGCCGGTAAGATCTCCAATAATTCAAGGGTTTAGGGTTTAGGGTTTTGGGTTTAGGGTTTAGGGTAGAGGTTCTTGGCCGAGGAAGGTGCCATCGCCTTTTGCGATATCCCGCTACATCTAATTAGGCCGGCGTCATAGAAGCCAAGTTTCAGTCGCACTGACAGCCCAAACTTGAAACTCCCGTTTAACAATATAGGGGGCCTCACAATAGCTATAGTTATATATTCAGGGAGCCGAAAGAACAATATTGGATATTGGTAATGTTTCAGGCCTCATATTATTAGGTGATTAAGCCCGACTGACACTGCTAGTGAGGATGTCAATCGACGGGAGGGTTTTAAGAAGCGTTTGCTTCGGTGGAAACCCTTAGCAATTTGTAAAAACCTGTATAGAACTCTGATAGAACCTTGCAAGTGTAATGCTGTTTAGTTTAGAACCTTGAGATGGAGGAAAAGAAACGCCACCAAGAGAAACCCGCTCCCAAGCCCTCAGCCCACAACTCTAAGTCTGTCGGGCTCTCAGGCCACAATGACGTGGTGTCCAAGGGCTTCGAGTCTTATGTGAAGGTCATGGGCTTGCTGAGGAGTTGACAAGCAAGCCGCGGTAGAAAGGATGCTCTGAGGAGTGATAATCGAAATTGAATCATAGGAGGGGCACAGCTGATGTTGCGCTTTGGAATGGTTGTCACCGTCGCAATATGTCACAAAGATTTTTAGTGACTGTTGTGTTGTTGTTACTTCTGCTGTCGTCGTGGTTGTGGTGGTGGTTGTGGTTGAACGGTTGGTTGGTTGGTTGGTCGGTTGGTCGGTCGGTCGGTCGGTTGGTTGGTTGGTTGGTCAGTCGGTGAATTGTTTGGCTGGCTGGCTGACCTGCCGGCCGGCCGGTTGGATAATTGGTTGGTTGGTTGGTTGTGTGGTTGGGTGGGCTGCTTGCTCGCTTGCTTGCTTGCTTGGTTGGTCGGTCGGTCGGTTGGTGGCTGGTTGGTCGGTTGGTCTGTTGGTCGGTTGTGCGGTTGGTTAGTTTGCCCACTCACTCACCCACTCACGCACTCACCCGCTCACCCGCTCACCACACTCACCCACTCACCCAAACCCATTCGCCCACTCACTCACCCAGTCACTCACTGACTCACTCACTCGCTCCCTCACGCACTAGCAAACTACCAGGGCCACGCGACGATGGCGGTTTCGATGGTTTCGGAACCCGCGGCGACTGACGACGGCGACGACTGCCATTCCTGGTGACGCCCTTCTTGCTTGTACATTGGTGCGGTTTCCATAGTCAGGTTGCACTGCCTTCAGCGATACATCACGGCCAACCTAGGGTTTTGGCTTTACCACTGCATATTCAGAGCATTGCGTGGGCATAGGCCACTGCAAACATAAGCCCATGACCTGAGACCATGCGCTCCATGCTGGGGCTCGGAGGCTATCTGAGATCATCACAAAAAGCGGTTTAATATAGGAGCCTGAAAGATTACCAATACTATTCCTCAGGCTGGTTCGGTCATAACTATAAAGTAACATGTCCCCCCCCAAAAAAATTCCAAGTCTAGGTCGCTATTTCTTGTTCAGGACTTTGCATTGGCGCATCGGGGGTTTCGGGTTGGTCTGGTGTTGGATAATCACCTAACCACGGACCCTTAGATGGGCCCTGCCCCGCCCCGCATCACCCAGTCAATTCCTTAACTAGCATCACTAAGTTCGGTGCAGTTTCAACATCTCAACAGCAAGCCCTACCGCCCTGACCCCAAACCCTAGACCGCAGAGACCGTTGACGCTCAACCCCAAGTAGGAATACCTCCCAAATTCACTCGGCACGAGGAGGACGCAGGATGAGTGAAAGTACGGTTTTTAAGCTGTTTACCTAGACCCTCCATCTACCCTCTGTTGGACCCTAAATGCCCTTAATTTGGGACCATATACCCCTATTTGAGGGTACAAAGAGGGTCCTGGTAGGGTTCAGGGTCTATGCAGGCTGAGGGTGTAGGAATGGATCACATTTAGGTTCACCAGGAAGGCCCATAAAGGACTTTTGGGCTCAGAGGCTTTCGTCAAAGCCGCTACGGACGTTATAGCTTAAGTAAATTACAGCCCATACTGGTTGAAACACCCGAAACAGTCTTAAAACGCTATGCTGTGTTATGAGGTGCTTCCACTACCCTAGGTACCAAAATCATCGGACCGTTCTTGCAGTGCGTAGTTGTGTGTGGGTAGAGACAGGATCCAACTTTCGGCAATGGTGGCCCGGGACGCTTTAGATTTTCCGGCATAGGACCTAGGAGGAGGGTTTCACACCCTAAACCCTAAACCCTAAACCTAAACCGCCGAGTCTGAGGATCCAGCCTAACCCCCCAGCGTGAGTTTCACACATCATGTAGCCGTTCGCCTAATGCAGTCGGTGCGAGCGCGGTGGGAAAGAAGGAATGATGCCACGAGCTTGAGAGTTAAGCGTTTGGATAGAATATTACGGCTTAGGGTTTAGGGTTTTGGGTTTTTGGGTTTAGGGTTTTGGGTTTTTGGGTTTAGGGTTTAGGGTTTTTGTGGCCAGCCCAGAGCAGGCATTGCTCTAGAACCCTACAAACCCTAAACTCTACACTTAAACCCTTATAAACCCAAAGCTTTCAACTTCCTGAACCCTAAACCCGAAACCCTAAACCTTAAACCCTAAACCCTAAGCCTAAACCCTAAACCCTAAACCCTAAACCCTACACTTAAACCATAAACCCTAAACCTCAAACTTCAAGTTCGGAGTCCCAAGGCCCGGTTTACTTAGACCCCCCAACCACTCTCTAGTATAGACTAAAGAGCCGCTATAGCAAGGACCATTTTGGGTTTACCTGGACCCCAAAGAACCTACGTGTGTAGAGTTCCTTATTATAGTTTCTTTATATAAGTCCTTAGAAAAGTAGGTTCTTTGGGGCTAAGGTGGGGGTTTAGGTTACACCAATGGACCAAAGACAAGAGCCTCTATTCAGGACCATTTAGGGTTTGGGGGTTTAGGTTACACCAATCGACCAAAGAGCCTCTATTCAGGACCGTTTTTTTTGGGTTGAGGGTTTAGGGTGTAGGGTACACCAAAATGGCCTCCATTAAGGACCCGATGGGCTTCCTGTAAAGGGCGCATCTGCTTTTTTTAAAGAAGGTTTCTATGGCTTTCTTTTAGGGTTTAGGGTTTGTTTAAAAAGGTTTCTATGGCTTTCTTTTAGGGTTTAGGGTTTAGGGTTTGTTTAAAAAGGTTTCTATGGCTTTCTTTTAAGTGCTTAGGGCTCCAGGTAGAGCTACAGGGCCTAGGACTTTAGGGTGTCGTTGAGCTTCAGGCTTCGAAGAACCTGCGGCTTTGAGGGGGGGTTATGACTTCGATTGGGTGGGTTTTTCCGGACTGTTGGGTTGAGTCTAAGGGTTCGAGGCCCCTAAATCCCAACACCCGAAACCCCTAAACCGTGCCAACCCTAAACCCTAGACCCTAAACCCTAAAACCCTAACCTAAACCCTAAACCAAAAACCCTGAACCCTAAACACTAACCTAAACCCGACATCCTAAGTAATGGGGGCAGCTGACGCACGATGCACGTGTCTCCGAGGGCTGATGGCGGCTGTCCAAGTTGAGTTTTAGGGTTTCCGGCTCAGGGCTTTATAGATGATAGAGTTTGGGATTCAGGAATTCAGGGTCCCGAAAGTTTAGGGTTTAGGGTCCGCCTTGATGTCCTTGCAACATGCATGACGCCTTCTTGTCGATTTGCCGAATCTCTAACTGAGGTTCTAGGATTCTAACTGAGGTTCTGGGATTCTAACTGAGGTTCTAGGAGTCTAGGACTAGTTATTCTGTGTGTTCCAGGTGTCTTTGTCTGTTTGCAGGGAACCCTAAACCCCCAAACCCT